TAGCCTACATCCACTCTTCAAGGCGCAAATAGGATATCATTACTATCACAGTCAAGGAGACAATTACAGGGTATTTAGAAAGAAAGAAACAGATTGAGCAAGAAGAAACAACCCGAAGAAACCCTAGCTTTCTTCCCTTTTTCCCCTTGCTGCCAATCCTATCAATGAATCAATTATACATCACGCCACCTTCCAGATCATCCTCCACTTGGTACCTCAAGAAGATCCAGCCGTAGACAAGCAACAAATTTCGTCTCCCATTAGAACATTTTGGAACAAGACAGTTAGAGAGAAGAAATCTGTGCAAAAGAAGAGGGCTGGATCGAATGAGTAGACAAAGTCATTTTAGCTCATCTTAAAATGATGTCGATTGGACCCTTTCGACTCTCCCAATTTTTAATTGACTCCACCGTGGCACAAACACAAGCCACATCATCACAATTCTCCACCTTGACTTTTGTTTTGACACCCTATTTGGCCTTGGAAAATAGGCTTCTGCTCAGGTAACACTAAGAAGGCTCATACAGAGCCTTTGTTTGTCACCAGTGACAAGTTTTGTAAGCATATCTGCTGGGTTGTGAGAACCGTCCACCTTTTCAACCTTAATTTCACCTCTATCAATCATCTCTCTAATGAAGTGGAGTCGAACATCAATGTGTTTAGTCCATTCGTGAAATACTTGATTTTTACAAAGATGTATGACACTTTGACTATTGCTGTAAACTGTTACAACCCTCTGTTGTAAACCTAACTCAGTCACAAAACCCTTCAGCCACTTTGCTTCTTTTGCTGCCTCTGTTAGTGCCACATACTCGGATTCAGTTGAAGATAATGTAACCATGTGTTGGAGTTTAGACTTCTAACTAACAATGTTTCCCCATATTGTAAAGACAAAACCTGAAGTTGATTTCCTTCTATCAACATCACCAGCATAGTCTGCATTAACAAATCCTTCAACACAACAGTTTTCTTTCTAATTCCTCCTATACACTATACCTACTGAACTAGTCCCCTTTATGTACCTCAAGATCCATTTTAATGCAGACCAATGGATCTTCCCTGGATTACTCATGAATTTGTTCACAATGCTTACTGAATAGGCCAAGTTAGGTCTTGAACATATCATCAAATACATTAGACTACCCAATACATTAGCATAAGGGACTGATGACATCTCAAGTTTTTCCTCTTCAGTTTGGGGACTTTGATCTTGAGACAGCTTAAAATGCTGACCAAGGGGAGTTTGGACAGCCTTTGCATCCTTCATATTGAACTTCTGCAGGATCTTTTCAGCATAATCTTCCTGAACCATCTTTAAACTTTCATGAACTCTGTCTTTAATGATTGATATCCCAAGAATCTTTTGAGCCTGACCCAGCTCTTTCATCTCAAATTTGGTGTTAAGAATCTTTTTCAACCGAGACAGCTCAGATTGTTCATGACAAGCCACAAGCATATCATCCACATACAATAGAAGGAAAATGTAAGTCAGTTCAGAAACTCTTTTAAAATAGAAACAACTATCATAATTGCATCTATTAAAACCTATCTCAATCATGAATGAATCAAACTTTTTATATGTAACGCCCCACTTGAGGTACGTAGCTAATGTCTCTCCTTTTGCTCTTATTTGAGTCGGTTTATTAGTATTATTTGTTTGGTTGGCCTTTGTTTGAGTGGTATGTTGAATACTTGCCTTGAAATTGGTTAAAAATAGAAGAAGTTTGGTGTTCCAGGCTTCACCGGGGCGAAGAGGTGTTTAAGCCGGGGAAGCTGCTGGACAGTTTCGCCGTGGCGATAGAAGCTTTTTTGCCGCGGCAACGGGTCGACCAAAATGTTGGTTAAGTTTTAGATATTTTCTTCCCTAAGGGCAATTTGACCATTCTACCCCTAATTAGTAGGAAAAGTGGGGAGTAAAATGTAAGGATTTTGCTTAGAGAATATGTTAATATGGGGATGTGTTTGTAATGAATCAAAGGGTATAGATGGAATTCCCAAGGAAGAGTAAGGGCAAAATGGGAATGCTTGTGCATAAATTGTATTAAAAGGAATTAAGTCATTGCAAAACCCTTCATTCTTCTTCTCCACTGCCACTCTCCTTTTTACTTCCTCTCAATTTCTCTTCCAATTGTTCAAGGGTTTTTAGAGGGCTTTTGGAGTGATTTGGGGTAGAAGATCAATCTAAGGCATCCTAAGGTAGAGAAAAATCAAGCAAACCAAGAGAAAGGAAGAGCTAGTAAGATCTCTCCATCACAAGGTAAGTAAACCCCAACCCAAGTAGAGATTTGAGAACTTTCTTGAATAGAGAGTTAATTGTAATTATGTGTGTATGTATATACATGTGATATGCTATGTTATTAAGATTTAAATGGAGATAATTATTGCTTTATGGTTGTTCATACACTTTGATTATGAGAAGTGAGATGTCGGGTTGGGAATGTAGTTTGAGATGGAATTGAAGGATATGAGAAATCCTTTTTAGAAGTGTTATTCTATGGGGATTTATGACTATGTGAGGGAGTTCTCTCCATTTTGGATGGTTAGAGAAAGACAAGAATTATTGTTATAGTAGAGTTTTGTTATGCACATTGAGTTGTTTAATGAATGCCTAGTAGAGGTTTGAGTATGAGTAGTGAACTTAATCGTGCAACATTGCTTGTCGGCATTCATAAGTGCATTAGTGGAGATGAACCATCCATAGCATTATTTGGGCATTGAGAAGTGACTTAAGAAGAGTAGAAAACTTTGTGTATACACTTGCTTTATGAGTAGAGAACTTTGTGAATGCAACTACTCTACGGGTAGAGAGAATGAGAAGTGCTAGAGTAGAGAAAGTTATTAGAAATGGGTTGATGCTTCGTGATCGTCACCCGATATTTAGTAGAAATGGGTTGATGCTTTGTGATCGTCACCCGATTTTAGTAGAAATGGGTTGATAATTTGATCGTCACCCGATATTTAGTAGAAATGGGTTGAGCTTTGTGATCGTCACCGATAGTATTAGAAAAGGAGTGATGCTTTGTGACGTCACCCAATAGTTATTAGAAAAGGAGTGTGCTTGTGATCATACAGATAGTTATTAGAAAAGGAGTGATGCTTGTGATCGTCACCCGATAGGTTTAGAAAAGGATTGAGCTTTGTGATCGTCACCCAAAGTCATGAGAAACGGGTAGGTGCTTTGTGGTCTCCACCCGATAGTTATGAAAACTGTGTAGATGCTTTGTGATCCCCACTCGGTAGTCACTAAGAGCGGGTTGTGCTGTGTGAACTCCACCCAACAGTCATGAAGAGTGAGATGGTGTTGTGTGAACGCCATCCGGCCGTACCTCCGGTAAGATAAGGCCATAACGTTAATAGAAACATTAGAAAGAAAGTGTGAGATGAGACACTTGTATCGTATTCATATTTTATAATGAAAACGTCTCATCTGTAGATATAGACGAGTTATACCGAATCACGCAAATATCATGTGCTTTTGTGTGGTTGTTATTGCTGTTCTTTATTTTATGGTTTTTTTTTTTTTTTTTTTTTTTTTTTTTTTTTTAACTCTCTCGATTTTTAAAGGAATTCAAAACTAAACTGGAAGAACTGCTGGGTAATGGAAGCATAAAGCAAATGTTTTGGATCTCAAGGAAGGGTGCTGAATAGCATCCAAGAAGGTGGAGCTCAGATAATAATTTCAAGAATTTTGTTGAATGGCTGAAGGCATAAATAAGGTCATCACACATTGTTCAACCATATTCTTCGTGTTGCGAAAATCTATGATGAATAATGTTTCCTTGCAGTGAATAGAACCGGTGTTATGGCTGAAGGAACTAGATCTCAAGAAGCCAAGCGCATTTTAGAGGTTTCAAGTTACTTTTCTATTGGTCTCAGGCATAGAAAGTTAAACTACTTACCGAGGTACCTTTCCTATTCTGGCCTTACTTTGATGACGCCGTTATCTCAACAGATCTTCATTTGTTAAACTATGAAAAGTCCAGCTAGCTCAACTCACTTTTTTTTATAAATATTTTAATGAGTAATAGTGAGAAAAAAGAGAAAGAGCAGAGCCAGAGAGAGACACTGAATATTAAGCTTGACTGGAAGATGCTTTTCATTATTGTAAAACAATTAATTTATACTCATTTACCTAACAAATTCAGGAAGCTTCCTATCAATTTACAAAACTTGGTGGGCAAGAATAATAATGAGAGAATGACGCTTCTTGGTCAATTTACAAAACTTGGTGGGCAAGAATAGTAATGAGAGAATAACGCTTCCTGGTCAATTTACAAAACTTGGTGGATAAGAATAGTAATGAGAGAATGACAGCACAACAATCATAGGACCACAAGAATATCAATTTGTTAGAGAGTTGTAGGATGGAGACACGTCATTAGTGTTGTCTCCCTGGTGTCTTGCCATCGGTCCACTGTGTATCTTTTTCACAGTAATAAAATAATTTTTTTTGAAATTAAAATGAATGTTTGTAAATTACTGAATTCTCAATCCACATGTATCATGTTTGTAGAGAGGACATCCATATCAGGACCACGCTTTGTAGGTTTTACTAATTATATGTTATAACGAAAATGATAGAGCCACCACCGAAAGTTATGCACCGAATATGTGCATTGAATGACGTGACAAAATCTTGATCATTGATTAATATTAATTGATAATAAATAAACGGTTAGGATTTTGTCACGTCATTCGGTGTACAGATTCAGTATACAACTTTCGGTGACTGTAGCATTACTCATGTTATAATCTGTCGGCATTATTACAATATCATAAAGTAACTTTCATAATGGGTAGGCACAATTGAAATATCCCACGTGAATCAGGAGGTTTGAAGCTGTTAGATAATGATGAAAGCAAACAATTAGATACTAAATAATTAATGCAAAGTCAAAAGAAAATATGGGAAACGTAATACTCTCTTCAAAATTTTGTTTTGTTTTGTTTTTTTTTTTTTTTTTTTTTTTTTAAGCCTAATGATCTTATATATAGATGAAATCAATTTCAAGAAAGAAAAGTGAAGAACGAAATGGGAAATCCACATGTTTTGGTTATACCTTGTCCAGCGCAGGGTCATGTGATTCCTTTAATGGAGCTTTCACAATGCTTAGTCAAACATGGAATCAGAATTACGTTTGTGAATACAGACAATAAAATCGTGAATGTGCCATCAACAAAGAATGGTGAAAACAATCAAATTCATCTTGTTTCGGTTTTTGTAGGACTGGATTCTCCAGAACCTGAGAAGTTGGTTGAAGGAGTATTAAAGTTTATGCCAAGGAAAGTTGAGGAGCTCATTGAAAATATTGATTTATCAGACAGTGATAAGATCACTTGTGTTCTAACAGATGACTTACATAGCTGGCCCATGGAAATTGCAGTGCAGAAGGGAATCAAGGGAGCTGTCTTCTATCCTTCAGCAGCCACACAATTGGTCTTCGGATCTAACGTCCAGAAGTTGATAGATGATGGAGTTATCAATAATGATGGTAAGATCATCTTCACAAACTCTTGCAAGCAATACAGTAGTATTAGGTCATTCTTGAGAACAATATTCGGTGATAACAGTTTAGATTTAGGAACAATCCCAATTATTCAGTCTTCAACTCAATGTGTTTTCTATCTATATATATCAGGAGTCTTGGTTCAAAAATTTTGCAACATAAATTCAGTTGTTTGGCCTTGAAGAACTATAAGCAGAACTAGGAGTTAACACAAAGATGTTAACAGTTGAATGTTTCTGCTATGCTTAATTCATTTGATATTTTCTTTTGCAGGAACAACAAAGAAACAAGTGTTTCAGTTGTCACCAACCATGCCTACCATGAGTACAGACCATTTGTGGTGGACCAGCTATAAGAACACGAAATTGACAAAAATGGTATTTGATAATATGGTTAGATGCAACAGATCAAGAAAATTGGCAGACAAGATACTCTGCAATTCAACTTATGACCTGGAAGCGGCAGCATTTGACATGAATCCAAATATCATACCAATAGGCCCACTTTTGGCAAGCAGCAGATGTGAAGACACAGGAGGAAGCTTCTGGCAAGAAGACTTCAATTGTTTCAAATGGCTTGACCAACAGCAACCACAATCAGTGATATACATTGCATTTGGCAGTTCAACTATTCTTGATCGAAAACAGTTCCATGAATTGGCCTTGGGACTTGAACTCTCCAACAGACCATTCCTCTGGGTTGTGCGTCCTAATATTATTGATGACATGAGTGATGCCTATCCAGAAGGATTCTTAGATAGAGTGGCTAGTCGTGGGCATATAGTTAGTTGGGCACCTCAACAGAAAGTCCTTGCGCATACTTCCATTTCTTGCTTCTTAAGCCACTGTGGCTGGAACTCCACTATGGAAGGTGTAAGCAATGGATTACCTTTCTTGTGCTGGCCTTATTTTGCTGACCAGTTCCTCAACCGGACCTACATTTGTGATATTTGGAAGGTCGGATTGGCATTTACTAAAGATGAAAAAGAAGTCATCAGAAGAGAAGAAATCCGAAGTAAAGTGGATCAGCTGTTAGATAATGCGGAGTACAGAACAAGGGTTTTGCATCTCAAGGAAATAGTCATGAACAACATCAAAGAAGGCGGTTGCTCTTACAAAAATTTTATGAATTTCATTGAATGGATAAAGGAATAAGTAATGTACTACAGCTTTCTTGTCAGATTGCATATAGTAATTTGTCTAAGGTTATTTTGCAATTTTCATACAAATAAAATGGTTTCCTTTTGGTCTGCTTGCATTTGCATCCAAAAGCTATCAGTAAATTTCTTTTCTGATGATGAAAGCATTGAAAATAACTTTTAAACTGGAATTAATCAATGTGCCGGCAAACATGTTTGAAAGCAGTCAGACAATGACAAAAGTTAACAATTCAAATTTATCGAGCAACAAGGATTTTGAAAGGATGGGACCACAGATTGAGATTTATTTTTACTCGGTCATCTCCCTATATAAATTGATAATCTTAAGGAAGAATATGCAAAGAACCAAATGGGAGACCCACATGTTTTGGCTATATCTTGTGTAAAGCAGGGTCATGTGATTCCTTTGATAGAGCTTTCACAGTGCCCAGTGATACATGGCATTAAAATTACATTTGTAATTACAGACTATAACCATAAGCAGATAATGAATGCATTTGCGACGAAGAATTGTACTGGGAATCAGATTCATCATGTTTTGGTTCATCTAGGACTGGAATCTTTGGCGATGAGGGACCAACCAGAGAAGCTGGTTGAAGCAGTCTTACAGATTATGCCCAGGAAAGTTGAGGAGCTTATTAAAGATATTAATGCATCAGATAATAATAAGATCACTTGTATTCTAGCAGATCACCTAATCAAATGGGCCATGGACGTTGCAGTGGAGAAGGGAATTAGGGGAGCTATCTTCTACTGTTGAAGGTTGATGCTGTGCTGGAAGTATATTTTGCTGGAACTGAAAGCTTGAAGCTGGTTTTGATGCAACCAAAGTGACGTGCATGGTGCTGTTTTGTGTGTAGTAGTTTAGCTTAATTTGTCTACTTGTGTGTTAAAATTTGACTTAAGTAACTCAGCCTATTTTGAGGCTTTGTGTCTCTAATATGTAATGTAGTTGGTGGATTTGTGTGGATTAGCTGGGATTGTGTAAAAGTCTCACTGGTAGTGGTTGTAACAGTAAGCAAAAGCATGTTATATGCAGTTCTTGTTTGTTAATGAAATTAGATTAGTTCTCTTCAATTCTCCTTTTCTTTGCACATCCGGCATAAGCTAAAACACCAACATGGTATCAGAGCTGGATTAACAAACTATCATTTAACAAATTCACTCAAAAAAAACATCTTGAATCACCATCAAACTTCAACCTTCCGGAGAACAGCAACTGCAACGTGGTTTCCATCTCTCTCACCTTCGGTGTTCAATGGGGACCAATATCATATTTGGGCTGTTAGAATGAGAGCCTATCTAAGAGGACAAGGGTTGTGGCAGTATGTGGAAGAAGAAAAACAGCCACCGCAGCTTGGTCCAAACCCCACCCTGAATCAAATGAGGATGTATGAGGAAGAGATGTCAAAAGCTCCAAGAGCCCTCTCTCAAAAACACTCTGCTGTAACAGACCTTATATTTACAAGGATAATGGCGTGTGAAACTGCAAAGGAAGCTTGGGATAGACTAAGGGAGGAGTTCATGGGAAGTGATACAACTCGAAATATGCAAGTTATGAACTTGCGGAGAGAGTTTGAAATGCTAAGAATGTAGGAGGTAGAGAAAGTAAAAGAGTATGTAGACAGGCTTATTAGTGTGGTGAACAAGATTAGGTTGTTGGGAGTTGAGATGAGTGACAAGATGATAGTTGAGAAAGTGTTAGTCAGCCTACCCGAAAGGTTTGAGTCCAAGATATCTTCCTTAGAAGATTCAAAGGACCTCTCCCAAATCAGCCTCATCGAATTGGTCCATGCCCTGCAGGCTCAAGAACAGAGAAGGCTGATGAGACAAGAGGACTCCAATGAAGGTGCAATGATGGCTGCTCAAAAGGGATTGAATGTGCAGGGAAGCAATAGGAAGCATGCTAGAGATAAGAGAGGAAAAGAGAGAACTAGTGGACAGTGGGGAAAACCGAGTGGAGTAAGGAATTATCCACCATGTTCCCACTGCAAAAAGAAGGGACATCCAGATAGTAAGTGCTGGTTCAGACCTGGGATCCAATGCAAGGGGTGCAAACAGTTTGGGCACATTGAAAAAGTGTGCAAGAACAAAGGTGCACAACCATTACAGCAAGCACAAAGTGCAGAGGACCAGCAGCAGGGCAGTGAACCTAAATAGTTGTTTGTAGCTTCATGCTACTCTATGCAGACCAGCGGTGATGTTTGGCTAATAGACAGTGGTTGTACCAACCACATGGCAGCAAAATTGGAGAATTTTGTCAGGATGGATAGAACCTACAACTCCAAGGTCAAGGTTGGAAATGGTGACTATGTGGAGGCAAAAAGGATTGGTGATGTGGCTTTCCAAACTCAAGCAGGCACCAAGATCATTTCAAGTGTTTTATTTGTCCTTGAAATTGCACAAAATCTATTAAGTGTAGGTCAAATGTTAGAGAAGAATTACACTTTACATTTTCAAAACCATGCTTGTGTAATAATGGATTGTGAGGGAAATGAATTAATGAGTGTTAGGATACTGGGAAAAAGCTTCCCGGTAGAGTGAAAAAAACCAATGAGCTTAGCACTAACCAACAGGGTTGAAGAGTCTGATTTGTGGCATAAAACGTTTGGCCACTTTCATTACTTGGGAATTGAAGAACTTATGGCAAGAGACATGGTGCTGGAGCTGCTTGAAATAGAGGAGAAAAAGTCCTTATGCACAGCCTGCCAACTTGGCAAACTTAGCAGGCCATCATTCCTTTCGGATCAAGCTTGGAGAGCATGTCATAAGCTGCAATTGATCCACATTGATGTGTGTGGTCCTATGAAGACTGAATCCTTAAATGGCAGCAAGTACTTTGTACTCTTTATTGATGATTACTCAAGGGTGGCTTGGGTGTATTTTCTGAAGCAGAAAAATGAGGTGGCTGCTGTGTTCAAGAAATTCAAGTTGCTGGTGGAGAATGAAGCTGGAACTTTGATCAAAACTATAAGGAGCGACAATGGGACATAATACACCTCAAATGAATTCAGCACAATTTTCAGTGAAGCGAGAATTTAGCATCAGTTCATAGCCCCATACACCCTTCAGCAGAATGGTGTTTGTGAGAGAAGAAACTGAACCATTATGGAAATGGCTAGGTGCATGATGACTGAAAAAAAACCTTCCTAAAGTGTTCTAGGCTGAAGCTGTTAATACAACAGTTTTCCTTTTGAATAGGCTGCCCACCAAGGCAGTCAAACATCAAACACCAATTGAGGCTTGGAGTGGAGTCAAACCAGCTATAGGGAGCTTGAAAGTATTTGGAAGTATAGCCTATGTAATGATCCTAGTAAGCAAAAGATCCAAATTGGATGATAGGCTGAAATTGGGATACTTATAGGCTACAGCAGCAACTCTAAAGCCTATAGAGTTTATATCCCTGAATCTAGGAAGATTGTAATCACAAGAGATATAAAGGTTGATGAAGGTGTAGTCTGGAACTAGGAAGAAAAGAGAGTTGATGTGCAGGCTGAATCAAGACAGGAAGAGATGAATGAGGAGCTTATCCAAGAGGCAGATTCAGATGAGGAAGAAGAACATGTTGTTAGAGGGACAAGATCACTGGCTAATGTATACAAAAGGTGCAATGTGGCAGTGGTGGAACCAAAATGTTATCTTGAAGCTGCTAAGTCTGAATTGTGGAAGGCTGCAATGTAGGAGGAGCTCAGCATGATTGATAAAAACCAAACCTGGAAGTTGGTACCAAGACCTGAAAAAAGGAAAGTAATTCAGGTGAAATGGATTTTCAAACTGAAAATTAATCCTGATGGCTCAATCTACAAGCACAAAGCAAGGCTGGTGGTCAAGGGCTTTGCACAGCAACCAGTTATTGACTTTTCAGAAACATTTGCCCCGGTAGCTAGGCAAGACACAATAAGGTTGCTGTTAACACTTGCAACTCAGTTTAACTGGAAAATTTTCCAACTGGATGTCAAATCAACATTCCTAAATGGGTGGATTTCAGAGGAGATTTTTGTGGAGCAACCAGAAGGCTACAAGGTTGAGGGCAAAGAGGATCATGTGTATCTGCTAAGGAAAGCCTTGTATGGCTTGAAGCAAGCCCCTAGAGCCTAGGACAACCGAATAAATGACCATTTGTGTAGCCTTGGTTACACTAGAAGTCCAAATGAACACACTCTCTACATTAGGAAAATTGGAAGGGGTTTGGCTGTGGTCTCTCTCTATGTTGATGACTTATTGGTGACTAGAAGCAATCCTGAAGAGTTGGACTAGTTTAAGTCGGCCATGCAAACTGAGTTTGAAATGACTGACTTAGGATTGATGAAATATTTCCTAGGCATGGAAATAAGTCAGACTGCAGGTGAGATTTTTGTGTGTCAACAAAGGTATGCAACCGAGATTTTCATGAAGTTTGGAATGGAGAATTGTAAACCAGTGGATACCCCACTGGTTCCGAACCTGAAACTGAGCAAAACTAATGGTGCAGAGAGGGTGGATGAAGGGAAATACAGGAGCTTGGTAGGAAGTTTGCTGTATTACACAGCCACCAGACTTGATCTTATGTTCATTGCAAGTTACCTTTCAAGGTTCATGAGCAACCCAAGTGAACTGCATTTCAAGGCTGTTAAACATGTGCTAAGGAATGTAAAAGGAACCATCATGTTAGGCATCTGTTTTAAGAAAGCTGAAAGTCTGAAATTGTTGGGGTATACTGATAGTGACTGGGGTGGATCCCTGGATGATGCAAAAAGCACATCTGGTTATGTATTTTACTTAAATCAGGGTGCAATTTGCTAGCTGTCAAGGAAGCAGGAGACTGTGGCACAATCTACTGCTGAAGCTGAATATATTTTTGCTGCAGCAACAGTGAACTAGGCTGTATGGCTTAGGAAGATGCTGGATGATTTGCACCAAGTGCAGGATGGTCCTACATTAATCCTGTGTGATAACTAGTCGGCAGTGGCCATGGCAAAGAACCCTGTGCTCCACGGCAGAACTAAGCACATCAAGATTAAATATCATGCAGTAAGGGAAGCTGAACAATGTGGTGAAGTGAGCTTAATGCACTGTAGAGGAGAAGAACAAGTTGCTGACATTATGACAAAGGCTTTGTGCAAATCCAAGTTTAAAGCCCTAAGACAAGAACTTGGTGTTTCCAGCCAAAGCATCAAGGAGGAGTGTTGAAGGTTGATGCTGTGCTGGAAGTATATTTTGCTAGAACTGAAAGCTTGAAGCTGGTTTTGATGCAACCAAAGTGACGTGCATGGTGATGTTTTGTGTTCAGTAGTTTAGGCTTAATTTGTCAACTTGAGTGTTAAAATTTGACTTAAGTAACTCAGCCTATTTTGAGGATTTGTGTCTCTAATATGTAATGTAATTGGTGGATTTGTGTGGATTAGCTGGGATCGTGTAAAAGTCTTACTGACAGTGGTTGTAACAGTAAGCAAAAGCATGTTATATGCAGTTCTTGTTTGTTAATGAAATTAGATTAGTTCTCTTCAGTTCTCCTTTTCTTTGCACATCCGACATAAGCTAAAACACCAACATCTACCATGCTATAGCTACGCGACTAGTCTTAAGATCTAGCATCCAGAAGTTGATTGATGAGGAAATAATAGATAATCATGGTGAGATATAGTTCATGGTGGCTGTCATGAGAGATTTCTGAGTATTTAAAACAGCACATGGAGCACCATAAAAGAGAGGCATCAATTGGATTTCTTCCTAAATATAGGGAATTTTAGATGGTTTACATGTTAATCCAGAGATGCAAAAATGTTTTTATTACAAAATACTGATTTTACACTAGCTGGATTTTCTAATAGAAAAATTATAAGTAGAACTAGGACTTGAAACTGGAGTTGAACCCTATATAAAAGATTTTTGATAATTGATTGCCTATTCTTTACTTAATTTTGGCTGAGATTTTCTTCTACAGGCACTCCAACAAAGAAACAGATGTTTCAGTTGTCACCAAACATGCCTGCCATGAGTACAGAACATCCAGGTGGGCCTACCCTGGAAACATGAAAGTGCAGAAAATGTTGTTTGAAGATATGGTTAGAAGCAACAGATCAAAAAAAATAATTCTGCAATTCAACTTATGACCTCGAGCCTGCAGCGTTTAATATGGATCCGAAGATCATACCAATAGGCCCTCTTTTGCCTAGCAATATGCTTGGAGATTTGACAGGAAGCATCCGGCCAGAAGACTTAACTTGTTTGGAATGGCTTGATTAACAACCACTTCAGTCTCTCGTATATATTGCATTTGGCAGTTTAACGATTTTTGACCAAATCCAGTTCCAAGAATTAGCCTTGGGGATTGAACTCTTCAATAGACCATTCCCCTGGGTGGTGCACCTGATATTAGTAATGACACGAATGGTACCTATCCCGGGGATTCCGAGACAGAATTGCCACTCCTGGAACATAGTTAGTTGGGCACCTCAAGAAAAAGTTCTAGGACATCCTTCTATTGCTTGTTTCATAAGCCACTGTGGTTGGAACTCCACTATGGATGGTGTAAGCAAAGGCTTTAACTCTCAAGGAAATGGTCTTGAATAACATCAAAGAAGGTGGTGGCTCTTACAAAAATTTTAAGAATTTCATTGAATGGATAAAGGAATAGTTTATTACTTTGTTTCACTAAGAACTTCTGCAAGAAAGAATTGCAGCAAAAGAATGCCAATTTGAAAGTCATTCCTGTCAAAATTATTGATGATGTGAACAAATTTTACGTAACATGTGCTCTGAAAATACTAATTAATCCCAAGGCTTAATCAAAGGTCTAATGACATTGTGCAGGCAGCACTAGATAAAATCCTGATGAACTTCTTATGATTTTAAACCATGTTTTCAGGAAGTTTCAATCGATTTGAGGTTCATTGATTGTCATTTTTTCAGTGCATGAACAAAAATGTTCATTATTCTTGGAAGCTCTTGGAATTGCAGAGCAAAACCTTCTATTCCTTTAAATGCTACACAACTTTGAAATCTTTTCTTCAAACTTTAATCACATTCTAAGAGATTTCAAAACTTTATTCAATTATCTCTCAGTAAGAGTGGCAAGATTGCATGGAAAAAGAAACAACCAAATGGGAAATCCTCATGTTTTGGTCATACCTTATCCAGCGCAAGGTCATGCTATGCATTTAATGGAATTCTCACAATGCTTAGTCAATCATGGCCTTAAAATTACATTTTCAAACTCTGAGTAAAATCACAAGCACCTATGAGTGCATTGGCAAGCAAGGGTGGAATATAGAGTCAGATTCATCTTGTTTCAATTTCTTTGGGACTGGAACCTCCACAGAGTGTTGAACCAGAGAAGCATTTTGAAGCTATCTGCAGGTTTTTGCCAAGAAAAGTTGAGGAGCTTATCACAAAATTAATGCATTGGGTGGTTCTCATCGCAAAATAAACCAAGAGAAGCATTTTTCAAACCAGGCTTGAGGTGCTTGTTTTACTGATAGGACCTAACCTGCAATTCAAGCAAACTACCAACAAACAATCTGCACTCACAAGTCAAATTCACCAAAATAGTAATAGGATCCTGTGTATTAACCTCAACAAAAAATTACAGCCAGACACTACTTAGATTCCAACAGTCCTATCCTCAGTATTTAGTAAGCAAACAACTCAGAAAAGTAATGCAAAATACAATCAGGAAAAGAAAATCAAAAGACTGACTTCGAGGGTCAGTCACCTCCCAAATACTAACTTCGAGGGTCAACAGCCTCTCTTTTCAATTTACTTTATAATTCTCTGCCCTTTTTCTATTTCACTCCTCCTCTTTTTATTCTCTCCTGTCACCCTTTACTCTAACTGAATTCCACCTATGTTCCACCATGACTTGCCATCTGTCCCAACCAATATTCCTCTAAAACAAACTTAAAACAAATCCTAACTTCCAACCTTGCAAATATTTGGCCATGTTCCTCTCCTTCCTATCCCCACGCTTCCTGTGGTACACTATCTTTATTGGTTGCTCATCATTACCCTCCCCAAGGAGAATCACCTTGTCCTCAAGGTGAAAGGAAGGAAATTGTTGCTGAATAATATCTGCATCTTCCCACGTGTTTTCATAGGAAGGCAACCCCTTCCATGAATCAGTACCTCCCATTGGCCATTCAGCAGTTTCCTTTTTTTGAGAACTGCTTTAGGTTTCAATTGTAAAGTTAGATCCTAGTTAAGATCTGTCAGTAGATGTTGGTTATTGGGAATCGAAAACGTTACTTTCTTCAGTTGTGAAACATGGAAAACATTGTGGATACGGGCTGAAGAAGGAAGGGCTAGCCTGTATGCCACTGCTCCAATCCTGTCCGTGATGACAAAGGGACCGTAAAACCGTGGGCTCAACTTCTCGTTGTAGTGACGGGCTGAGGAACGTAATCGATACGGTTGTAACTTCAAATATACCAATTCACCTGTCTCAAATGTTACCTCTCGGCGACGGCGATCGGCATACATTTTCATGCGGTTTTGAGCCTTTAAAAGATTGTCCTTTAACTCCTCAATAATATGGTTTCGGTGCCGAAGTTGTTGGTCAACCTCTTCAACTGGAGAAGTATGGTTCGTATAGTGTAGCACTGCCGGAGGGTCATGGCCATAAAGAGCTTTAAAAGGACACATTCCTGTAGAAGTGTGGTAAGTAGTATTGAACCAGAATTCTGCCTATGGCACCCATTTTGGCCATTGCTGTGGATAGCCATTGATGAAGCACCAAAGGTATGTCTCTAAGCAACGATTGACCACTTCTGTTTGACCATCCGTCTGCAGATGGTAGGCTGAACTCGTGTGCAAATGGGTCCTGGACTGTTTAAATAATTCAGCCCAAAAATTGCTCATGAAAATTCGATCTCTATCGAATACAATAGTGCGTGGAAACCCATGCAACCTGACCACTTCATTGATAAATAAGTCTGCTACCATCTTGGCGGTATACAGGTGTTTAAGAGTGAGAAAATGGCTGTATTTGGTGAAACAATCGACCACGACCAGAATAGTATAGACTCCGTGGGCCTTGGGCAGCCCCATAATGAAATCCATAGAAACATCCTCCCACACCTGGTTAGGGATAGGTAAGGGTTGCAGCAAACCGACAGGGCTTAAAGCCTCGTATTTATTTTGTTGACAAATGCTGCAAGCCACTACAAATGCCTTGATATCTTTCTTCATGCCTTCCCAAAACATTACATTCGAGATTCATTTGTATGTCCGAAAAATTCCAGAATGGCCCTCAATCGGTGAAGTGTGAAATTCCTGTAATATCTAGTGGATATGAGGCCCGGACTTAGGTAAAACCAACCTGTTATAGAACAACAAATGGCGTCGAACCAACCTGAAATGAGGATGACTGTTTGGGTCAATCAGGAGCTGTTAGATGATCTTTCGTAGCTTGGCATCTTGCTGGATTACATCCTCGAAACTATCTAGCCTAGAAAAACAACCCATAGAGATGGCCTGATGCTCGACTGTATCTAGCATCCTAGAAAGTGCGTCAGCTACTCTATTTTGTGGTTCGGGTTTATACTGAATGAGGAAATCCAATCCTAACAGTTTGCTAACCCACTTTTGCTGACTTTCACCTAATAATTTCTGGTCCGTTAGGAAATGGAGGCTTTGCTGGTCTGTTCGGATAACAAAACGTCGGCCCATGAGGTAATGTCACCATTTTTGCACCGCTAAAACCACAGCCATTAATCCCGCTCATAAGCGGATTTCAGTTTGGAGTTGAGAGACAAACCTTTGCTGAGAAATGCAATAGGCCTCCCCTCTTGCATCAACACTGCCCC